TAAAGGGCCCTTTCAGTTGGAAGTTTCCTTCACTGTCTGTATTTCTACTAAGCATATTTTTTGGCAGCCCTGACACAATGTTTGTGTCCTGTGAGTAGAGGTCAGCTAGGAGTGAAAACTTCCTGTGCTACCATCAGTGCTTTCCCTTGGTCTGTGTACTTTGCTATTTGCCATGCTTTGTCCACAATTTGGCAGCACTATTACCCACTCTACGTGACAAATGACATCATTGCTATAATGAGAATTCCAAGCAGCACCACTGGATCAAAGCCCATCTGTGTGCCTGCTCCCACACTTGACAAAACAAATTCCAAATTCATTCAGCATGCCGGTGCCATTTAGTCACTGTGACATATCCCAAATTTTGGACTCTGTGCAAAAACCAATCTGTGCCCACAAAATTAATCATGGAACACATTTTATGACGTTTGACAACAACTTAAAAGGTTCTCATCTCTGGCAGGTGGCTCTGCCAATCTGCAAGTATGTGCATGACAAATTCTGAACAATATATTATGTGGCTGAAAATATATCATGCAGGATGCACACCCTGGAGAGAACCAGAGTGAGTCCAAACAATCCTGAGGTCTCAGGGACACATAAGCCAGACTGCTGTCTTGTGAAGGAAGGATGATGGCCCCAGGTACACACAGAAAGCCAAAGAAAAGGCAACAGCTCGTGTGCCAGTAAATGCTGAGAACATTGGCACAATCGCCTGTGTTGGCAGGACCAAGAGTTTGAGATGGCTAATTTAAGCGACAAGATCCTGGCAAACAGATTTATTTAGGGCAAGGGTGCGTCAGAAAGATGCCAGAAAAATACATCAATCTGTGCCTTTACATGTACTGTGGAGTGATGATGAAACAGTTGACATTAAAAAAGTAAACCCTTACACTTTAATATAATCCGCAGCTCATCTTCACAACAAGTAGGGTTTACTTTAGATCTCTGGTACTCCAGGATGGGGTTTTATGTTCTCATCGGAGATCTTCAACCAAGAGAATTTCTCTTCAACAGGTGTTCTTGAAGAGATCTTCCCATATGGCTGGGTTGAATTGATTAGATTCATGTTTTTATATATTGTTTAATTTATTTAAAAATGTAGGCTATTTGGCATTTGACAATATCATTCCCTTCAAATTAAGGAAGCCAATTATCTAAAATTTTACTTTACTGAGGAGCATATGACAGGATCTCCATTAGAAAAAGAAAATTCAGACTTTAATTGTTCTGATAGAACCCTTTGCTTAAGAGTAATATTTTACTCTGTAATAAGACATAATAACTGTTTTAAATATCTATCCTGTATAGTGGTGCATATTTGTGCACTAAAATGATAAAATAGCAATAAAACAGTAAGATGCAAAAAAAGAAAAACCCAAAAAGCAAAATGTTCCACTTGGGGGTGTCTGGCTTCCTCATATTACTTTCCATTTTCCACTTTCCTTCTCTAGACAGCTTCCTACCCCCAATTTTCCCCACCTACTCCTTTTTTTTTTTTTTTTTTCCTCTTACTGGATGCTGGCTTAGTACATTGTATTTGCAACATCTTGGGTTAGGAGAGCTTTCACAACCTGACAGCCTACTTAGGACTTTCATTCCTCATTCGAAGACAAAATTTGCCTAATTTAGCTTTCATGGGGATTTGTCTCAGAGTTCCTATTCTGAGTCTTCCTTTCCATCTCCGAGGCAGGAAGTAATATGAGGAAGCAAAAGGTGAAGAGTTCTTCCATAGGAAGAACAATTCTTGATTAGGAAGTGAGTCCTAATAACCTGGTGAGTCAATAACCTGATGGAGGCATAAAACTAAAAGCAGCACTTCCTTATTTGTGCTCACAATTGCCTCCTTTGAGACTTAGGGGAGCAATCTGTCCCCTCTTCTGGAAAATGAAGGAGCTGGACTCTAGTCTCTCTCAACTCCGGTAGTCAGGGATTTGTGACTGATGGAGTGATGTTTTAGGGGATCTCTCCTTACACAAAAACTGATTCTTCTCTTTTGTGCATTGAATACAAATGGGTTGTTAATTGGCTCATATTTTCCCTTCTCAGTAGCTCCTAAAACTTTTTTTCTTCCTTTCCTCTGCTTAAATAATGATCTGTAACTGTTCTGATTCCCAATTCTTAGAATGTGACTTTTTAATCTTTCTATTTTCTCTGAAAACTTTTAGGATCTTCTACTTACCCCTGGAATTTTGAAATTTTATGATGATTATGTATGTTAAGAAACTACCAAGGACAAGGAAAGGATCACTCAAAAGGAGCAAACAATCTATAGTCTCAGTTACTGAGAATTGTTCCTGTTCCTGCCAGTCAAAATAGAATCACATAATTTATGGGGAAGGGGTAAAGAACTTAGAAGGGTATTGACTCAGTAGTGGGACATAATTAGCCATACACAAAGGTTGAACTGGTTCTACCTAACAAAGCTTAAAATGAAGCCTCAAAGGACAAATTTTTTTTTCAAGTATCCCATCTGCATTTCAAAAAAAATTTCGGGGCGCCTGGGTGGCGCAGTCGGTTAAGCGTCCGACTGCAGCCAGGTCACGATCTCGCGCTCCGTGAGTTCGAGCCCCGCGTCAGGCTCTGGGCTGATGGCTCAGAGCCTGGAGCCTGTTTCCGATTCTGTGTCTCCCTCTCTCTCTGGCCCTCCCCCGTTCATGCTCTGTCTCTCTCTGTCCCAAAAAAATAAGTAAACGTTAAAAAAAAAAATTTAAAAAAAAATTTTTCAAAAATATTCATAGGGATACAAAAATATCAAGCACCCAAAAAAGTAAATTTCACAATGCTTGGCATGATTATATATATATATATATATATAGATAGATAGATAGATAGATATAGATATATAGATATAGATACATATATATATCTATATATCTATCTCACGGGTCATGTGAGAAACAGGAAATTATGATCTGTAATGAAGAGAAAAATCAATCTATAGAAACAGTGCCAGAAATAGCACAGATGGTAGAATTAAGATAAAAACATTAAAATTGTCAACATAATAGCATTCTACATGTCCAAGAAGCTGTGGGAAAGGTTGGGCATGGTAAATAAGGACATGGAAGATTTAGAAACACACACACACCTCCTTAAATCTAACTGCCACAAATAAAAACTATAGCCTCTGAGATGAAAAGTGAACTATTGGGATTAAAAGAATATTAGATTTCAAAAAAAGGAAACACAGGGAAAGGCTTGAAAAAACAAAATGAATAGAGCACTAGGGAGCTGTAAGACAGCATTAGGCAATAGAACTTACATGAAAGTGGGGTCATCAAAGGAGAGGAGCTGGAGGATAGGGGAAGAGAAAATATTTGAAGAAATAAGGGCAATGTCTGCATTTGTCTTGTTATGGTATTCTCAGTGCCTAGCAAAACACCTGGTAGGTATTAGACATTTAGCAAACATTGAAAATATTTGTGGCATAACCATAAGTAAAAGAGAAGCACATGAGTGTGATTGCAGGGTATAAGGACCATCAGGGACCAAGGGACAACAGTTTGAAAAAAGGGAAGCTTATTAGGGGCACCTGGGTGGCTCAGTCAGTTAAGTGTCCGACTTCGGCTCAGGTCATGATCTCTGCCACTGTGAGTGAGCCTCATAGAGGGCTCCTGTGCGACAGTTCAGAGCCTGGAGCCTGCTTCCGATTCTGGGTCTCCCTCTCTCTCTGTCCCTCCCCTGCTTGCTCTCTGTCTCTAAAAAAAAAAAAAAAAAAAAAAGGGAAGCTTAGAAGTGGCACTTCTTTAGCAGACCTGGGGATGGGTTCAATTTGAAGGTGTATATGGTTTGAAGAATTGGAGGAGATGAACAAGGATATTCCACATGAGAACAACATGAATGAAGACTTGGAAGCAAGAATAAACATGGTTTTGAATATATCACCTCAATTAGAGAGGTGGTTGCACTTGAGGAATAATGAGAAATGAAGTTAAATGGGTAACTTAAGGGTCAGAGTATGCAAGCCTTTAGAAATAGGAAATGGTGGGGGAGAAACAATTGAAAGTTTCTAAACAGAAACTTTTGCTAATGAAATCAGGGTTCAAGGGGGAAAAAGCATAATCATGACATTCATGATGGCTTAGAAAAAATACTAGAGTGGAAAGAGTGGGCTGAGGACAATCAGGAAGTTAAAACGTTCCTATCATGAGGTGTTTAAACTGTATACGAAACCATCTAACACAGTATCAGCAGAGACTAGTGCTTGAATGAATGTCAGTGGAATCTATATACTGGACAAATTAATATTCCATTTAAATTAAGTACTAAAATTTTTCTTGGTTCATTAATTTTCAGAAGTGGCCCTAAGAAATCTGTAATGCATTAAGCAAATTTGCTTCATATCTCATTTACATAAGATTTTGGATCATCTTTTTAAAATTGTTCTCTGTGGTGCAATTGTTCCTTGTTCTCTTGCTTACCCAGGTGTTTCATGTTTTTTGTACTTTCCATCCTTAACTCTCAAACAGATTGGCAGGGGAGGCTCGTGCCTTGATTTTTAAAGTTAAAACGATGCCGCCACAAAAAGAGACTGTATTCCGTTACCTATTTGTCACAGAATCCCAGAACTTAAGAGTGGAAAAGACCTCGGAGAAAGGACCCGTCATCGCACAGATAGGGAAACTGAGGACGAAAGGGGTTAAGGGAGCATTTCAGACTCAGAACCATTAATGGTCAAGCCTGGAGAAAAATCCAGACTTTCACTTGGAGCCAAGGGTTCTAAGCGAGTGGGACAAGGCTTGAATCTGAGGCAGGGAGCAAGAATCGGGAAAGGCGCTTTTTCCACCTTCCGAAGCCGGGGCATTCGCTACCCCCGGGACCGCGGAAGACGCTGCGTAAGACTAACCTTGAGGGCATAGAGCCCAGGTAGCCTCCACCACTCTCTAAGCCACAGGTCCTACTCTCGCGATACTGGCAGGCCATTTCCCTGCCAGCTCCTGCTAAGCCCCGCCCCTCCACCGCAGCCCTATGTCGTCATTTCCTGTGGGTCTGCAGGCAAAGGGAGAAGATGGCGGCGCTGGGGGAACCTGTGCGGCTGGAGAGGGGTGAGTGCGGCCGAAGCCGGGACCGAGGTGGGCGGAGGGGGTGGAGGAGTGCCGTGTGGCCGGAGGGGAGGAGGGGCGACCCAGGCTCCGAGATCCGGATCCAGGTGCCCCTCGCGCCAAAGTCGCTGCTCCTGGCCCCTGGGAGGGCGCTTGCGGTCCCCTGACTGATACTCAGACCCCTGCTCTCTTCACATGGACTGTGCCGGGGCACAGCACAGTTAAATACCAGCTGTCCGCCTTCGTAGACACACGCCGCAGACGCGCTCCCTAGGAGCGCACGGCAGACCTGGCGGCCTGAGACCTGTCAACCCCAGAAGCAAACATCACACGCCCAGTTCGGAGAGACTACATGCACTGCCCTTACTTATGCGCGCACAAATCCGGTGTCCCCGCTCTCACCCCCCACACATTGCAGACATCCCGGACACACAGCGCATTCACCACAGAGTCGTCCTTATTTATGCACAAACTCCGTCATTACTTTAACCACAACCTCACTTGTGTTTGTTTTGGGCTGTTTCCTGGCTTTGGTGCCCCTCCCAGGTACCGAGAAGGTGCTTTAAATACCATCCTACTGATTTGGTCCTCGGAAGAATGTTATATAACTATTTGGAATCGTGAGTGGTAGGTTGTAAAATACTTGAACGTATAGTCTTATTCCATCTTTACAAACCTTACAACTGCTAACTGTGGCTGGTTGCTTGCTTTTTAGAGCAGACTATCAAGGAAAGTAAAATCTGTTCTGCTGAGTAATTAGATACCGAAGAGCCAGTGAAAATATATGACTGTGCTACTGTCAGGGTCCTGTTACAGAGTTTCAGCATTCCACCCTTCCCTTCCCAAAACCTTTATTTCAAGGCAATTGCAAGCATGCTTTTGACACCTCAGTATTAGATGTCATTGGTAAGTCAAAAACAAACAACATTTTGAGTGCTGGTGGTAAACAAAATATAGGGTGGAGATTGTAGATATCTTCCGAGTATTAACTCTTGCGGTTACAGCCTGAATATTAAGTAACTTCCGCTCCAAAAAGGAAATATATTTTTGGAATTATTGTATTTAGAGAAACCTCTTTCCTCATACCTTCACACAAATAAATGTTCACTTAACATTATTTTTTCCTGATGGTGTTCACTATTTGTAAGCCTCTTTATAAATGACATTGCTTCCCTCCAGCCCACCAGACCATTAATTAAAGCATCATTTTTGACAGAGGAGTAGCTACTCTGGGAAGAATTACTAAGTTAGGCTTAAGACTGTGACATCTCCCTCCTGAGCACAATGGCACTGTGCTTTGTAGATGGGAACAAATCTGTTCGTTGTTAACAGGAGTAGGTGTTTTTGTTTTTTTTGTTTTTTTTTTTTGAAAGCCATTCGTAGGATTCTAACTTGTTGGCGGTCTTTTGTGTTTTTAAGTGCAGCACAAAATGTGAAACTTCACCTCTGGCATTTAGGTTTGGTAGTCATGGCTTTTTTTGCTTTTTCAGAGTTCTTTACAGTTCCACAGTAGAATGCTCAGCAACTTAGTAGGATGAATTACTAGAGGTTGCCATTTAGCTGGATAAGAAAGATTACATCACCTGTTTCTTATTTAGGATTCTCTTTAGCAAATTCTATTAACAAACACTTCCAATAACCCTACAATTTAAAATTAGTGCATATGATCAAGATCATGAATGTTTTCTAAATCATCCAAATATGATTCAGTGGAATAGCTTTGAGCACATGTTAGGTACAGTTTAGGTTCAGTAAAGAGTTTTTTTCATTTCGTTTCAATTTTTTGTTAATTGGAAATATTTATATAGCTTACATATTGTAACTTTGTAAGTCAAAATAATCAATGAACCAAAAGCTCCCATTCATCAGTCATGCATTCTAGTGGTGCAATAATCAGAAGGGGGAAAGTCTGATTCCATTGCATTTGATTAATATCAGTTTAAGCTTTTATGATCTGAAGTTGAAAAATCTACTTCTTTCTTCACTATATTTATTGCTAGTTTTGTAGTATTATACACAAAGAAGGCCATATTAATTCTATAAAGAAAAAGTTCCAGACTTGTGGCATAATATAAAGTTCAGAACTTCTTCCATTTTAAAAGGAGGCAAAGACTAATAAAATAATAGGTACTGTAGCCCTCTGGGGTACAAAAACAGTTAAGAAAAAAAAAAGTCAAAATACAGAAAATTACAGTGTTTTAACATGACTCGGAATCTTACAAAATATCTTAATTCATAAAATACATTTCCCAATATGCCTAATATATTTGTACAAACATGTACCACCTCTTAAGATTTCTTAGGATTAATTGGTGCCAAGGGAACATAATATTTATGCTTGCTACATACCAGACCCTTTTCCGTGCTTTTTTTGGTTTAGTTGTAAAGTGATTCTTATAAGGAAGGTACTGTTACTTCCATTTTACAGTGGAGAAACTGAGACATGCACATTAAGTAACATGCCCAAGATCACACAGCTAATATTGAGACCAGATTGGAAAAACTTTTTATTTTTCTGTTTTGTAAATGTATGTATTTGGTTGAACTTGTCTTAATTAAAACAGTGTGTTAATGATCCTGAGTTGAAAAGAGGCCACAGTTAATTTATTCCTTTATACCATTGTTACTGTGTCCCTGCCACTAAGTGCATCTGTTATTGAAAGTTCATATCTACTTATAAATTGTGATTTTCTTTGGAAAATGAAAAAGGATTTCACTAGCACACAGTGTTTTGTACTACTCAAAGCTTTGATTACTAATCATGATAGGTAACTTTTTTTGACTAACTCCTTTCAGATAGAACTGTCTGCTTTTTGAAGCAGTACAATGTTCATGTGTCTATCACATTTGAACCCATCTTTTCCTGTGACATTTAGAATTTTATGTTCCGTTTTCCTGTCTCTCAAAGATACTATTTTCCAGATCTTGCATGTGTGCATTAATATTTGATCCTAATCTACATAAAAGCATTCTCAGATTTTATATTCCCTCTCTCATATGTGTATTCATGTAACCCCCACCCCCAATACACACACAAGCTCACACTCTTACACATTTTTCCCCTCCATATTCTACATATTTCTAGTTAATCCTTGAGGATTGAATCCTGTTACAAGGCATTTAGAGAATATTCAGAGAAAATATGTGTGTGTGTTTAATTCTAGATATTTGTAGAGCGATTGAATTGTTGGAAAAACTGCAAAGGAGTGGAGAGGTCCCACCACAGAAACTTCAGGCTTTACAAAGAGTCCTTCAAAGTGAATTCTGCAATGCTGTAAGAGAGGTGAGTGAATGGGATTAAATTTACTAAAAACGTGAGTTAATTAGGTAAGATAGTACTCTGAAATTTGGGTTTAGAAGTTTTTAAGAAAACAAACTTTAGAAAAATACTAGAACTGGGGCACCTGGGTGGCTCAGTTGGTTATGCATCCGACTTGTGATTTCAGCTCAGGTCATGATCTCATGGTTTGTGAATTCGAGCCCCACGTTGGACTCTGTGCTGACAGCATGGAGCCTGCTTGGGATTCTCTCTCACTCTCTCTCTGCCCCTCCCCTGCTTACACTTTCTTTCTCTCAAAATAAATAAATAAATTTAAAAATCCTTTGATCTTATTTAAAAAAAGGAGAAAAAAAAATTAGACCCTATCTCTCTCTCTCTTGAAAAAAGTATATTGTTAAGTATATTAAAAAAAAGCATATATGTTAAGTATAACATACAATGTTATATTAGTTTCAGGTGTACAGCATATTATCCACCAGTTCTATTTATTATTCAGTGCTCACCACAATAAGTGTAGTCACCATCTGTCATCAAACATGTTGTTACAATACTAAGACTATATACCCTATGCTATACTTTTCATGTCTATGACTTATTTTATAACTGAAACTTTGTACCTCTTCATTTGTGGGGATTTTGAGTAGAAAAACATTTTACTGGATGCCTGAGTGCCTCAGTTGGTTATACATCTGACTTCAGCTCAGGTCATGATCTCATGGCTTATGAGTTTAAGCCCCGCATCGGCTCTGTACTGACAGCTCAGAGGCTGCAGCCTGCTTCAGATTCTGTGTCTTCCTCTCTCTCTGCCCTTTCCCTGCTCGCACTCAGTGTCTGTCTGTCTGTCTCTCACTCACCTCACTCCCTCTCTCAAAAATAAACATTAAAAAAATATATTAATACCGGGATGCATAACTTTGCCTAAAACTTTAACACACTCCTTAACTTGACTTAGAACTCAAACGTGGTATATTCTGAGATTTTAAATCATGATGATAACTTTGGGTTTCACAGGTATATGAACATGTCTATGAGACTGTGGACATCAGTAGCAGTCCTGAAGTGAGAGCTAATGCAACTGCAAAGGTAGTTGTTGTTTTTTTTTCCATTTACTAAAAGAGACTTCATTATAAATGAGAGGTTTAGGGGCACCTGGGTGGCTCAGTCAGTTAAGTGTCCAATTCTGTCTCCCTCTCTCTGTGCCTTCCCCACTCGTGTGTGCCCGTACTCTCACTCGCTCTCCTAAAAATAAAACAAAAAAACATAAGTGAAAGGTTTAAAATGTGTAGTTACTAGATATTTGATAGGCTAATTTTGAAAACTAACATGTAGTATTTTTTGAGCCACACTAAACTTCTCAAGTACTAAGACAAGACATTTTTTATTGGCTTTACAGGAGATATTTTATCATGCAGTTTAGATAATGCATTAAAAATACACTTGCAGGGGCGCCTGGGTGGCTCTGTTGGTTAAATGTCCAACTTTGGCTCAGGTCATGATCTCGCAGTTTGTGAGTTCAAGCCCCGCGTCGGGCTCTGTGCTGACAGCTCAGAGCCTGGAGCCTGCTTCGGATTCTGTGTCTCCCTCCCTCTCTGCCCCTCCCCTGTTCATGCTCTGTCTCTCAATAATAAATAAATGTTAAAAAAGTTTAAAAAAAACCACACTTGCACACAAATAATAATATACCTGTTGGTGCGCCTGGGTGGCTCAGTCAATTAAGCGTCCAACTCTTGGTTTTGACTCAGGTCATGATCTCATAGTTCATGAGTTCGTGTCCACCTTAGGCTCTGCTCTGACAGGAGCCTGCTTGGAATTCTCTCTCTTCCTTGCTCTCTGCCCCTCCCGCATGTCTCTGTCTCTGAAAATGAATAAATATTAAAAAAAAATACATGTAATACATATTTGTTATATATGATATGCATATATCATGTAAATTTTCAAAAAAACTCTGAGGTATATATTATCCTGACTTTATTGGTGAGGAAGCATTATATTAGGTTATTTTTCTCAAATCACACAAATAGTAAATGGTAGAACTGGGTACTCCCCTAGGTTGCTCTTTGCTTTTCTCCTTTGCCTGAACTCTGCAAATATAGGGGTAATGTCACTAATAGGTTAGCTCTTCAGAGCTGCATATGGCAAGTTTTATGTGCTTTTCTGCACCAGTGGTTTCCTCCGATATTTCCAGAATTGACCTCGGTGTCCATCATATCTTGTTTGAATAAACTAGTATCAGCAGTAAGTGACTTATACTAGAATTAGTCATTAGTAGGTAATTTTGCCTTGATAATTACCGATCCATAAAAGAAAATACTGGATTCTCTGTTGAATGTAAACACTTAAACATGTGAGTATAGTTTAGAAGAGTATAAAAAAGACATGGAAACTTGGCTTGAAATTCTAGAGTTACATGACCTCACGACTTCCTGAATTTCTGAGCCTTAGTTCTATTTGTAAAATGGGGCTTCTTTCAGAGCTTGGAACCTAATGGTATTCAACAAATCTTGATTTCCTTCCTCTGCCCCTTCCCATTTTTGCTCATGCACCTTGATCTATTTACGAAAAATGGTACCAGATTACTTAATTACCTGCTTTTAAAAGCAGAAAGAAACCAAAAATCTCAACTTTATGTTAGAATTAGTGTAGGTTAGTCTAAATTTGAAAGTTTTAAAGAAGATGTGACTCTGTTTTCATCTTCTGTGGGGTTTTAGGAGTAACTGGGTAGTTGACTAAAGCAACAAAAAAAGTTCACGTTCGTTATATGTATCCTTCTTTTTCTCAATATTGAATTATTTCTTTAATTAGTTACTTAGTATATAGTACAGATAGTAACAACAGCCCAAATGATTGCATATAAGGACACCTACCTCCTTACAGGTTATTATGTAGATAGTTTGTGCCTTGCGCAGACTCCTAAAGGAGCCAGGTTATCCAGCCCAAAGCCCAGGGCTGCTGGCATGCCAGGGAAGGGGTTTTCTCTGTAACATGCACCAGTGTTCATCTGCCAAGCAAGCCCGCACGCCAGTTGCTGCAGAGAAGTTCTGGGTGCTGGGTGGACTGAGTGGCCTGGACAGTCTTAACACCTCCTGCGTAGGCCCAAGGTATGCTTTCTGGTCATCATCACCCCATCCACTCAGCTTACCTTCTCTTTCAAACTGCCAGTGAACTTGTGAACATTCAAACATCAAAAGCGTGTACCTCAAAAGTAGTTTTAAAAAAGAGACAAAAGAACTGAAGCAAACAAAGATCATATTTGTAACTATGTGAAATTCTTTTCGAGGCTACTGTCGCTGCATTTGCTGCCAGCGAAGGACATTCTCATCCTCGAGTTGTTGAACTACCAAAAACAGAAGAAGGCCTTGGATTCAATATTATGGGAGGCAAAGAACAAAACTCTCCAATCTATATCTCTCGAATAATTCCAGGTGGAATTGCTGATAGACATGGGGGTCTCAAGCGAGGAGATCAACTTCTTTCTGTTAATGGAGTGGTATGGATGAATTTTATTTCTACTTGTAGTAATGCATTGTAACCACATGGGGGTATATTTGAGTTACAGAAACCAAAGATGTTGAGGGGAAAACCAAAGCTGCTTTGTAGTTTAGAAATCCCTTGAGGGAATCCTGGGCAGTACTATTTAGTACAGTGATACTTTTTAAAGCACTTTAAGTGTGTTTTGCTTCTTTTCCAATGTAAATTAGCAACGCTTAGTGTGATTTTTATGAAGTAATTAAGCTCTTTAGTAGTTACGGCAGTACATTAAATTAGAGAAGTCCGCCCTCATTTTCATACAGAATGCCAGCTGCTTAATTTACTTGGGACCTAGTGAGGTAATAGGGCGTATATATTGGTATCGGGAACAATTATTTGTAACTTAAAACCCAGTTGCTGGATTTGATTTGGCAGAGGATTTCACACCGATTAAAATGATAGAACCAGGTTATTTTGTAGGCTTATAGTGTTGTGATGATACAACATTAAAATTCTTTTTACTTTTATGTTTTTTAAACATTTTTGCATTTTGAGCTGCTTACAAAACCTGGATACTAATTGTGTGTATGTCTGTTTTTCCCCAGAGTGTTGAAGGAGAACATCACGAAAAAGCTGTGGAACTGCTGAAAGCAGCTCAAGGAAAGGTTAAGTTAGTAGTACGGTACACACCCAAGGTCCTCGAAGAGATGGAGTCGCGCTTTGAAAAAATGAGGTCAGCAAAACGCAGGCAACAGACCTAATGCAATTCAGAACTTTATATTCCATTTTGCTTTTAGCTAGAAAAGTTTTACTTGTGACCTACTGATGGCCGCAGTGCCAACGATTGTAAAAAACAAACAGAAACTTCCCATGAGATCCTCCTTGCCATTTTATAAACACCTATTTTAACATCGTTTATGGTTCCAGAGATGCATACACTTTTTTCTGACAAGAAAAAGTGAAAGGTGATGAGGGCAATTCTGTCCTGCTGTTTTTACAGGCCTTTTTCAAATGCAGATTTTGTCATAAAGTTGTTATAGATTTTTAAAACTGCTTTTTTAATATTAAAATGTACTTTTACATTCTCAATCTTTTTTTAGAAAAAAAAGTTTTCTTCATTTGGCTGCTTATTTAAAAATAACAATTCTCCAATTCTTTTTTTGCTTACTCTATTTTTTTTAACCTGTAAAATTTCTTTACGGTTTTCCAAGAAATTAAACATAACAGTCTCAGCTACAGCAGTTCATTACACTATCAGTGTTAACACCACTGCTGCATTTTGTACTTTGAACACATGCATAATATATATAATCAATGGTAAATCATAACTCAACAGTGGAAATTTTTTACTTTTATTTAAACATAATGTATAATGAATATTCATTTATACTGATTTATAAAAGTTTTTAAACACTGAAACAATCATTGCTAAAATATATATTCTTTCATAATATTTGAGCAGTGAGGCAAGAGGATGTGATTTGATTGTTGGCATTACTGATCACATCTTTTTATGTTCAACAATATATCATAAATTACAAATGCAAAAACAGGTTCAGGTTTCATTTTTTTGCAAATTTTTTTAATGCTATTCATTCTTATTTAAATATATTTCTTATATTTTGGTTTTTCCATTCCTAGGGATGAGCCAGTTAGATTGTGTTGGGAAGTAGCAGAAGCAAAGACGAAAAAGTAATACCTTTAACCTCACTAGCCTCAAGAGTTACACACTCTTTACTAGCTCACCTTAAAGAGTTGATTTTAGATAGGAAGAAGATAGAAGAATATACTTAAAATATAGAGAAATTATGAGGCGATATATTCATAAGAATCTGCAGGCTCTTAGTCAAAATGAGTAGGAACTCATTCATATTGAAATGGTTGAATTTAGAGATGTGATCTTTGAAATGATGGGAATTCTGAGAGATACTTTCATTCGTCCACTGGATGTCACTCTTACTGAAAGGCAGCTACTAGTGTAGGACTATGACTGAGGTCTTTTTAAAGGTGGAAATTAAGAGTTGAGGTTCATTTTCAGTCACAATTTACAGGAACATTTGTACAATTTTTAAGAATTTTATGTGACAGATGCTAAAAAGAAGATAATGGGTTGAAATATATAAGGAATTTAGCCTAATTACTGACCCTGTGTAAAAAGTGGGCATTTTGTAACATTCCTTCAGGAAGAATAGAAATGTATACCTTTTCCTGCATGTTTGTGAGCACTGTGAGTCTTACAAGATTATTCCAGTTTTCAATGATTTTCAGAATAAAAGTCAATCAACATTGTTATTTATCATTTAGGTATTGAACACTGGATTGCATGGTCGAATGTGTCTTTAGTCCATTACAAAACGTGCTTGTATTGGTAGGATCAATGTTGTTAAATTGTGTATTTTCAAAATTAATTGATGTTTTTAAAATGTTGAGACCAAAGTAGAGTAGAATAATGAATTTATTTTAATTTAATTGTAAAGTTATTAGAGGTATTTGTTGTAGAGCTTTACATATTAAAGAGAGATATTGGTGCATATAAAAACAGTAATATTATTATGCTCGTATTCTTGCATTACAGGGTAAGTAAATCCTGATGAAATCTTATTTTTAGTATAGCTACAGCTGTAGTAGCTTGCAAGGGCGTGTCAACATTTCATTATAAATTATAGCTTCCTGGTTCAGTATCTCCGCTGTTTCAGAACTTTCAGCCAAGTTCAGTCTTTTTTGGTGTTGAAACTTAGTAAGTTGAGTAAGCTATTTTTTTTCTCTTCTACAGTAATCCACAATCTGTTCTTTGTGTGGGTTGGCACTTATTTATAATTCTTAAAATAAGGATAGCTTAAAGGAGCCAAATACAGTAGTTTGCTTGCTACTGTTGAGCATGAGTAGCAGTAGTTTGTTTTCGTTAATGCAGTTTTCAGAGTGTATCCCAGAATTTTAAATCTCGACCATAGAAAAATTCGGTCATTTGGTGGCAGAGATGTACAGTACTGGTCTCGTATATAGTGAGGAGATGAAGGGAGTTGTCATCTTATAAATAAATGTATGACTCATGAACATAACTAGGCACATAGTAAGTATATAATAGGTGTTTGATTTGTAAATTATAAACTACTCAATTTCCATTTATTTTCTTGGTATTTCAAAATGGGTTGAGTCAGTGATTCTCAGCCTTAGCCGCACGTTAGAACCCCTGCAGAGCTTTAAAAACTATTAGTATATGAGTCCCATTCTGTATCAAGTTAGATGAGAATCTCTGAGGGTGGGGCCAGATACTTATTTTTTTAAAGCTTTCCAGTTGGTTCTAAAGGACATCTGGGTAGAGAACCACTTGTTTTCCCCTTTATAAAATGCTCTAATCACACTGCTGTCGTGAACTTAAATTCTAATGGGAAAAACACAGTTAAGTGCATAATATATTTGGAAGTATCAGAATAGAAAGAATTTACAGTTACTGACTGTTAAGTAGTGGCAAATATAATAATCGGTTATCTTTTTTAGTAATTTCTTTAGGAATAAAAGGTACTTGGCATTCATTATTTGGGAAGTGATTATAGTTTACCTTTTATCTTTTTTTTTTTTTAATCTGCCAGTAGTTTAAATGTAAGATTTTAATGTCTGTCATCTTTCTGCCCCCTTTGCATTTAAAACTTACAGAAATGAATGTGTATTAGTTCAGAAAGCATGTTTAAAAACTGCAGATGAGAAATACTGTCATTGGTTATTATGTGCTGTTTTAATATGGCCACTTTATCCATTAGTATACTAGATTATAATGGCCTAGTTCTTTGGAGGTTGAGAATTCAGATGTGTTTTTAAAATCATTGTCTTCCTCTACTAAATTTTTTAGTTATTTTGTTCAAGTACTTAAGTAGTTTGGCTCAAGTACTTTGTTTACAATTAAAATGGATATTATAGCATTTAGTAGAAGAAATGGCTATGGCTTATCTGAAAAGAATGTCAGCATGACTTGGTGTAGACTTAAAAGAATACATGTTGTGAATATTTTATAATGTGGAATGATCACTGAAATATCAAGGACTCTGGTATTGTATTTCCTGAATAAATGTATGTTTATGACTTTTCTAACTTACATTTTGTTGTCTCTCCTAACAATCTGGTTTTACACTTTTTATTGTCCAAAATTTCACTAATTGTGTTTCTTCAACAGCTATTGCAGTTCTGTAATGGTTAAATAGTGGAAAAAACCCAAATTGCTTGTTCATTAATTTTCAAGAACTTGCAAACTAATTTGTATCTGGACATAGTTTTTAAAAATATTATCAAACAGTATGATTCTACTTTAATTCCTGACTGTGAAGCAAAGAAAAATACCCACAATGGATTTAACACTTTTTCAGTAGATGACTTCATTTATTACCAACTTAATTCTGATTCTAAGATATATTTGAAATAAACTTGTATTATATTCTTGTTATTTGGATTTGAAAAAAAATTGGTATTATTACACAATAAATGTGTTTCTGAAAACTCTGTATAAAATAACTTAAATAAGGTAAAAACACAATCTGTGGTGGTTACTGGAGTGAAACTTTGAATTCCTATATTTTGCTTTGTCTTTCATAAAATGTAACTATAGAAAAAATTCTCTTGTGTTATTTTGGGAGAGGCAATTTGACATGTGATGGACAGCACAGCATCTGCAGGCCAACTATCCTAAGTGTGAATCCTAGATCCACCATTACTATGTAATCTTACATAAGTTACTCCTCTATGCCTTGGTACTCTCATCTGTCATGTGTAATAAGATCTTAGTAATTGTGAGGTCATTATCCGTAAAACTCTTATTTAGAAAGGTGCCTGGCATAGTAAGTGCTACTTTTGTTTGCTATTATTTGCACGTAAAAGCTTCAGGGACCTTATTAGCTGAAGGAAGACATGTGGCCACATAATTAAAATTGCAACTTTTTATTTTTGATGCCTAGGAAACATAAATTATGCTTGAAAACTTTATAAGGAATAAGACTCAAGGAATTTTCAGATTTCTGTCCACTGGATCAAAGAAACTAATGAGATTCTAAAATTTGTCGTGTTTTGGGGTCAGAGGGTTGAGGCCACGTTGAGAATGAAAATCATACAAAGTTCAAGTAAGTGATTTGTTCAATCAGAAAAGCAATTTGTAGGAAGGATATGAGCTAGCTCTAGAGACAGTGGATTGCTGGAATGGGTGTCAGACAAATATAAGGCATGATTCATCATGAATTTTTTAAATGCATGAAAATGTACCAAGCCACAAGGAGTACAACAAAAAGCATTTATTGTTAGCACTCAGTTTCTTCAAAATGTTTGTAAGCCGGAATACCCATTCTCTGAATCTTTACATTCTGGTTTTGTTACATTCACTATCGTTAATCATTCTGATTTTAATTAAAGAAGTGGTGACTCAGTTTTTTGTACATTTTATATATTTGGTGGCAGATAACCTCTACATGCTGGAATTTTTAAGACTTACTTTATATAGTAAGCAAAAGGTAAATTCATACAGAACCCATTTGTAAATTGTATTCCTTCAATTTTAATTTTTTTTAAAGAGGGCAGTGCTTGATGTCAACAAGGTATGTGTGAGAGTTCTCCTGAGTCTTATCAATTACAGAAGTATATTTTGGACAGTCAAGATTTAGTCCTTTAAAAATGTGTGTGTGTGTGTGTGTGTGTGTGTGTGTGTGTGTGTTTAATGTTTTCTCTAGGGAAGAAAGTGTGGATGAATTCTAATTTGTTAAGAGTCTCCAGAATTGAAACCAACATGATAAAAAGAAAATTTAGCTATTGGCTGCTGCTGAGCTCCCCTTATTTGGCCCTTATTTGGCAGTTATGGAAAGTAATTCTAATCAGAGGATAACAAAAACCCAAACTTTAATTTTGTTTTTTATTTGGCAAAAAATGGAATCTGAAAGCATGAAATAGGGGCAGATTTTTATTTCTGGTATCTCTTACTTGACTTAGATTTGAGCCCAGAGTTTAGATGCTATCCAAGTTTGACTTTGGATTTTAAGGTGTTA